TTGGCCACGAGGTCTTCAAATTCTTCAGCATTGAACTTGGTGAAGCCCCACTTCTTGGAGATGTGGATCTTCTGGCGCCCAGGGAACTTGAACTTGGCTCTGCGCAGGGCCTCGATCACGTGCTCCTTGTTCTGAACCTTGGTGCGGATGGACATGATCACTTGGCCGATGTGGACTCTGGCCACCGTTCCCTGGGGCTTCCCAAAGGCACCTCTCATTCCGGTCTGAAGCCTGTCGGCCCCAGCGCAGGACAACATCTTGTTGATGCGGATGACGTGGAACGGATGGAGTCGCACGCGGATGTGGAAGCCATCTTTGCCGCAACTTTTCACCATGTATTTGTTGGCACAAATACGAGCGGCCTCCAGGGCTTCTGATGAGAGCTGCTCATATTCATCAGACACCATGTGCCCACAGAGTGGGAACTCATCCACTTTTGCCTTCTTCCGACCCAAATCAAAGATGCGAATCTTGGCATCGGGAACACCTCGACAGAAACGAGACTTGGGGTAAGGCTTGTTCTTACAGTACCGGTAGCAGCGGGCGGGGCGGCGGCCCATGGCTGTAACTGCAGCTCGTCAGCACTCCTCACGGGCCCAGCTCGGCAGCGGAAAAGAACGAGGTGCGCCTGCGCATGCTTATATACTCGACTCGATTCCCACGCAGGCATCCTAGAGTTCCCTGTAGACGTGACGACGCTCTTTCAAGACGTTCCGACCATAGATACAGCGTGGCTGTGTGATAGGGTGCCGCAGAGCACATGCGCAGAACACTTTCCTTATTCCTTCCCTCGCCACTGATCTTGGTTTTCAGATTTACTGCGTCACAACAGTATCGTCCTAAGTCTTTGAGTATGAAAGCCATTTTGCTAATGCTTGAAGAAGGAAAGTACTCGCCCACAGGTGCCCGGCTAGTCAATAAATTCTGTATCCAATTTGGTTAAAGAATCTATGCTTTCCTCATTTTTAGACCAAATGCTATTTTTCTCAAAAGTATGTGCACACTTTCCCAGGGTAAAGAGGTTTCTCGGATATGTGGTTCCCCTCGGAGTAAGATGCAAGATGAAAGAGGAATCTATTGTACCTTTTGCTAAGCAACATTTATAAACATCGAAGTTTGTTGCTTTATTTGCTGTGATAGAATTATTTGTGGAACAAAATGACAATTCACAAAATCGATTCACATACATTTTATTTATTTTTAATTAAGATGTTAACACGTTCAACCGTTAACATAGCTGGGAAGAGTTACTTTTGTCTTAAAGAGAATGCCATAGCTTTTGTTGTGCTTTCTTTTATTCTTTGTGATATTAGATTTTGTAAAACAATATTGTTACCGGGAGGAAGCACAGAGTTTCAAGCCTCTTCACTCCTCGGCTCTTGTCGCTCTGCAAAAAATATTTCAGACGAGAGAAAATTCAGACAAGTGGGAGAAAGGCTATAGCAAAAAGAGTGGCTTTAATGAAGGGGGATACTTTGGAAAAGAAGCCCAAAGGGCCCTTAGCTTGTCTAAAAGGTCCAGAAAAAACAGAATGCTGGACCCTATATTGGCTATTGACAGACTTCCCACGTATGACTGCCTTTCTAGTGTGTCTTTTGTTGCCGGTTGTTCCTCTGTGGTGTCCCTCCCTCCTTTCAGGAAGGCACATCCCAGGTCTCCAGACTTCAAGCTGGGTCCTTATCTCAGATTCAAAAACTGTTCAGTCACTGTGGGGGTAGTGTAAATATCTTGTCTTTTTCCACCCAGCCTTTTTATTATCTGATCTGCTTCATTGATAAAGAAGTGTGTTGGTCTGTCTTTCACCTTAACTTTGTGCTGGAGAGGTATCGAGGAAGCATGTCTCTGCATCTTTTGTGTGAGTGACTCCCGCCAGTTTCTCTCCAATATCACCTTTTTACCTTGCCATTTTCTGACTAACAATTATG